CAGAAAACGCGTCGCCTTCTTGGTTCCAGTCTCCTTGGGGGACCTAGGAAAATCAAGGGAGATGCAATATCCACCTGCAGAATTGGAAAGCAGCCACCTGCCATAGTTGCCAATGAACATTGCGAATACGTTTTATCTTATTTTGTCTATACATCTGTTTACGAATAGTGGCAAATTTTGTTGTTGCTCCGCCATGCCCTTGTTCTCTTCAACCCATAGATGGGATCTGGCATCTGATGCATGCGGCAGCTTGAATCCCGTGAAGTCATGTATTGCTTAATGGTCTCCTTTAGGCGACTGGAAGCAACGGGTAGTGCGTTTTCGCTGCGTATCTCTAGCTGAAATGAAACACTCGTTCGCAGACTGACTGCTGCTCCGCTTTTGCGAACTCTTCCTGGAATGTGGCTGTCGAAACATTCAGCAATCAACGGATATTTCGATCATTACCATATCCAAACAGAAAGTAATAGCCCCGGTGGATCTACATCTACGGTCGAGCAATAAATCGTGAAACGGAGGTGATATTCAGGGTATGGCAGAACCACTCATGCCCTACAAGGAAGATCTGTCATACCGAAGGATATGATTATCCGAAATCCAGAGATTACACGGGACATACTGTGCGATTAGTCATAATGTTCGTTTAAATTGCAAAATGCAACAGGAGATCGTTATTCTTACCGCCGGTACCAAAACTTGCCGTTTGCTAGTAAACTCAGAACGTCGGGATTAGTTTTTGTGTGTAACTTCCGTTTTATGTGCACATAAACGTATATTCGAAAATTGAAACCCATTCCTTTCAGCCGAAGATTAAGTAGATCACGAAACGGCAACTCGGACTGCATGAACGTTTACAACAAACCAACACAGACCAACGCTTGCTACGGTTTCTATCATTCGTCCCTATGGAAGGAAGCAAGCCAATACTGGCAGCCTTGCCAAGAGCTGGCAAAGATTCAGACTTGATGAAAGACGCGTCAAGGATTGCAGCAGCTGAAATACCACAAAAGCGGTAGCTTGCTTAAACGCTCCCTCCCTGCAACTAGGTACAACACAACGGGGTAAAATCTCGTGAGATCTTGCCCTTGGAGGAGTTGTGCTAATTAACGTGCGTAAACGTACATAAACTCATATTTTGATGTTTGTGCCGTAGCAAATAATGAGAACCAGCTCCTTGTGTAATGTTTGTGAGGTTGTGAGGAGAATAAGGGTGCACTAACAATCAAAACGGCACGAAATACATCGAACACTACAGGTAAATCAATACCGTGGAACTGCCACCTGCTTAAATGGTGCGCCTTATACAACTAGCAACAAGAAGGTAATAAATATAAGTTTGTTGCCTGGTAACTCTGATAAAAACGGCATTCATAAGGTGCTACAGGAAAACGCTTGAGAAGCAACACTAATCAAAACGGAAACATACTAGAAAATATATGAAAAATTTAAATTATTGGCTCAAGTAAATTGAGTTCAAAGGTCGAGATAAACTGACCTCAGGCAAAAAACATCATTACAGGACGATCTAAATAAAAATGCAGGCTCTAATAGCAAAAGGACAACAGGAAGCAGTGACTGAGGTTTGTTTTGAACCATTGACCCTATTTACCCCTGTTAATAATCATCGTAGGACGAAATACACCTAGGATCTGCGAAGTGCTTTGTTCTACACAGGTCAGGCCTCAACTAGTTTCTTGCAGCGAAACCACTGTGCAACAAATCGTCAAGTTTAGTAACCAATCACAGTCAAAGCGGCCATTCACCAACAAATGGACCAGAATCATAGACAAAGAGAAACAAAGACGAGTTCATTTGTCGTTGAGGTTGAAAAGTTGCGAAGGAACCCTCAAGTTTAGGCCAGAAAGTGGTATTCAAGTCTAGGCATACCTCTGAAAGTCGACTAAGCCATGTGAAAACGAAAGAACAGGAAGATTAGAGTCACAGGCAAGTTTGATACATTCCTCAGAAAAAGTCTAAAATCTTCATAATGACAAAAAAGTTAGAAAAATAGCAGCCGACGCCAAAACCTCATTATATGTGAGGTAGAAGGCAAACGAAATACTTTATATGGCAACTCTGCTACTGTTCAACATTGTGAACTGAAACGCAAGAAATTGGTAGGCAGCATATCAGCATAAGCCGTGATGAATAAATCCTTAGGTTAAGGAAACCACGTCAGTGCAAGTCCGCAGATTTCTGAACAGGGACAGTGGCATGAACCTAGGTGATGTCTTGACATCAACCATAAAATAGTAAACTGTCAACTTTGATTCACCCTTAGTCTCTGTGGTCTACATTTGGCCTAATTCCGTTTGTTATTC